TCCTCGCGGAATGATATTCCGTTTGGCCGGGGGATCACGGGGGAAAGAAGGGAGAAAGAAGCCCCCTCGATGTCCGGTAGCAGCCACCGGGCGCGGCGCCACCGTCGCGCGCAATTACAACGCTCCCGGCCGTTTTTAATCTTGAAAACGTCCCGGGCAAAAAACGTAATAACTTTTTTGCCACCACGATTACGAGGGCCCTCTCTCGAGGGCTTGGACCGGATGAGCTGTTGGCGCAAAATTGGAGACTCCGCCCCCGCGTGCTCGGCGGATCGTTCGGTCCCTGGATAACGACCAGCCTGTATGCAAATCGTCCTGGCGCAGGCGATTTTCGCGGAACATTATTATATCGCTTCGCCCTGTGATATTATCATATGTGTATAGACGATGCACGATATAGACGGGATTACGGGAAAAAACATCAACGCATCAGTGACATCGCCGGAGGGGATGGCGGATCGCAGAAGATGCAGAAGAGCTTCTGACAACTTTTTAATGGAACCCCTTCCCGTCGTTTGCCCGTTTGATTGTGCGGTCGAACGTATTTATACTTGATACTGTGTTATTTAGAGGGGGTTAGTTTAGAAAAACTCTCCTCGGGATTATTCTCTCGCGAAATATCTCACCGCTCGTGATGGATATTTACCTCCCCCTCCCCCCAACCCCGCGAGAATATCTCATCGTTGACTCTGGTTATAGTTATATCGGTTTTGAACGAGACACGCAATACTTTGCCACGCTACGGTTGCCTATTCTCCCCCGCAGTACGGGGGACGAGGTGGAGTAAGGTTCACGTTGCGAGGTGTGAGTCGGCGAAGGTGGAGGCGTCATTGTCGCGGCTCGTTTCACCATTGCGTCACAGGCGTACGCGACGCGGCCTAGGAGCATAGAAAGCGTACGAATCGAATGGCCAACGATCATTTGTCAAGCGAGAACGTCCGCGTGCTGGGAGCCGCAGACGACTACCGCTATCGCGTCTAAACGCGGATTATCGAAGAAGAAGGGGGCAGGAGGGAAGGGAGGAGGGGAGAGGATGGAGGAGAAGAAGAAGAAGAAGGAGGAGGAGAAGGAGAAGGAGAAGAAAAAGACGAAACCTCGCACCTACCGTATCTCGCCTGGGAGAGTGATATTTCTATCGTGGATGTTGAGGTAGGAACGTGTTAACAATCCGTGCCTCGCCAACCGGCGCGGCGATTGATGGCCGTAGAAAAGAGGATTTATTAATCCTGACTATTATCACTGTTTCCCGGCCGGGGACAAACGACGACTCTATCGATGTTTCGATACTCATTATGTCGATACCGACCTGCTTCACCCTGTCGATCTCTATTTATATCGATTCTATGACCTTATGGCGATTGACGAAGTATCAGTAATTTCATAGAGATTAGTAAAATATATGTATCTTATAGAAAAGATTCGATTTTCCTCGAAGTGAGAATTAAATGAATTAATGTAAGAAATGTAGAAAGAAAAAGAAGGTCAGGGAAGATAGCTTGAATAATTTCTTATATAGTCTCTTTTTATCTCGATAAAATGAATTTTGTTCAAACCTACTTTTCTCAAATTCATACGAATAAAAAGAATTTATGGATATAATAAAAAATGGAAAATTAGAATGAAAAATTATTCAGTCCGAATCGGTTAGAATATAAATCGAATGTAAAAGTAAGATAATATTAAAGTAATCAAGTCCAAGTAAGT